ACTTGAGGGATTGGTTTCGCTTTGAACCACATGTCAGGTCATTTTGAGGATCGGTTGAAGAATCACCAATCGTGCCATTTTGAGAGTGATACAGTTTTGAGTTTGTTGGTGTGATATCTGGGCTTGTCTCAAAATAGGGGAACCCCCCGTTGGTGTCCAACCCAAAAAAGGGTTCCCTCAACAAAAATCACACCCATCTCTGGCATCGACTCGCGCGCCCCGCTTACAGAAAGACCCCTGAACCGGCGAGGCGTGGACAACCCGGCGGAGGCTGGGAGGAAATGGAAACTTGCGCCCTTGTTGAATGTTCGAGACCCATCTTTCCGTGATATTCTCTGAAGGGAAACACAGAAGTAGCAATCGACCATTGGATGTTCGGCCAAGTTAGTAGGTGGTTTACTGTTTGGGTTATAACATGTTATAACTGTTGGAGGCTACTAATGGCTGGATGAATCCCTCTTAAGGAGGCGTATGAGTGGGTTACAACCTATGTTACCCACAACTTACAAACTTGGCCGAACACCCAAGTGGGGTCCCTTGCTACTTGGAACCTTAAAACAGGTTGTCCGGACACAGAACGAATCACTATTAGGAAATCCTGTTGCCTGCTATTTTTTGCATCCATCGGACAACATTCATAACCAAGATAAATATGGGTTTGGGCGGTCCCCAATCGGTTTGCGGGTTCATGGGTATCGCTTTTGGCCGGTGCTTTCTTGGTTTCTGTTTTTGGTTCTTGATTCTTGATCCACGGGCCGCACACCTCAAGCTGGTAATGTCCTCACATGAGGGTTTGGGTCCTCAGGGATAGGTTCACGTTGGTACCCTAATTCTACCCTCTCTACTGAAGAACCTAGTTGGCAAACAAAGGTGGGCATTTGGCCCATCCGCATCGAAGGAAGCCTACCCCCTACTCCAAATACCTTCTTTTTGTAGGGTATGAAGTTGACCCTCTACTAAGAAAGGATGTATTTACTATTTTACCATGGAAACCCAGGTTTCGCAAAAAATACCCTACAAAAAGGTGGGGTATTTGGAGTCTCCTTCTGACCCTTTACAAATGGGTCAATGACAAACCGTTATTTTGGGCAGTCTGACCAACCATTTTTCAAGGGTCAGAAGGAGACTCCAAATACTCCACCTTTTTGTAGTTGGTATGTTTTTAGAAGAGCCTGGGTTGTCCATGGCAAATCCCGATCCCTTTTTTAGTAGCAGGGCCGACATCATACCCTACAAAAAGGTGGGGGGTATTTGGAGCTTACGGGGGGCGGCCGCAAGGACTCCGAGTTTTCCCCAAGCCAAAGCTATGCGAGTCCAGCCTTCCAGCGGTGAGGCTGCGGCCCTGGTGCGGCACCAGCTTCAGCTGGGCCTCACGTCGGCCCGAAACCCCAGAGGTGTTTGCGTTTGTTTTGAACTGGAATCAGATGCCAAGACCCGAAAGAACTACAAATTAAGCCAAACAACGAGTGGGAGGTTGTGGATTTTCTTTGACCATCGAGATTTGTGTCACTGGCTCAAGTGGATTGGACAGAAAGAGTGGGACAGGTTATTCGCCAAGATTGACCTTCCCTAAGGGTCGCGATGGATTGTGGGCCCCCAAAATGGGTTGCTTTTGGTTTTTCAGGGCCCTCGAGGAATTGGTCGCTTTGGGTTCTCCATTGCAGGGTCCGGGGATCTGCATGAAAGGGTCCTGACCCTTAGGGCGGCTGGAATCAGGTGCCAAGACCCGAAAGAACGACCATCTAAGCAAAAAGAACAAGTGGGAAGTCGCCATAAAAAATGTTGGGTTGCGATCACCAGTTGTTTAGGGTAGTTTGAGCGTCCAGGTGTCCTTTGTGGCCAATTAGTTTGGATATAAATAGATGGTAGGTTCAGGATTTGCTTTCTTTCCCAGTTGCCTGGGCCGTCAAATTTTCCAAACATAGGTGTATGGCTGAAGAGGCTTTTCACTGCCTAAAGATACTCATCATTACATGTCCTGTATATAGATGGGCACAGTTGAGCTCCTTTGTGTCTAAAGAAGTTGGCCTCCAACTCTAAGCAAAACACAAGATATTGGGAACATATAGCTGTCCCTTTAAGGTTAGTTTGGTTAGACATAGATGGGCATGGGAACGCATAGCTGTCACATGTTTGGCTTAGATTGCTTAGACATCGATGGGTTCCACTGGTGCCCAGGGATCCAAGGGCCAATGTAAGATGGGATTCAGTTGGTACCCTCTTTCTACCAATAGTCGCGGTCGCGTCAGCTTCTATGAGTCTTGGGGGGGGCAGGGCATCTTTGGTATTTTGGGGGGTCGCAAGCAACCATCATCGGTTTACAATGTTCACAATAACCTAGGTCTAGTCGGTATATGTCGGTATACGTTTGGATTTGTTTGGCCTGCGGCCCGGGTTCGAAACCAGCAGGGTGATGTCCGACCGGGTTGGACATGTAGCCCCGATTTCAACCCCTGGGCTGATCCAAGTAGGATCTGGTGTCCTTAAAACGTTTCTTGGACTCCTTGGACTGGTGGAACAGTGGCTTTTCCGATTCAACCAAAATTCCATGTCTTTCTGACTCTCCATGAGGGTTGATTCCAATTTCTTTTCACCCTCCTGTTCAGAAACTGAAGAGAAGCACCCTTAGGGCGCCCCCAGAAAAGCGGGTATTTGACATGTTGCTTGTTGGGAGCGAGCCACCCAGTTGCTGAAAGCTATAGGCTCTGGTTGCAGTGGTTCTTTGAGTTGCAGTGTTTTCGGGTTCCGGGTTTCGGGTGAGAGCGTTGCTGTTGGGGATGGTATTTGGCTTACTTGTTGGACGGGGTCCACTTCACATCCACTAAACTAAAGAGTGCCCCCCATTGTTCCCCATGGATCTCGCAACCCTACAGTTGCTGCTCGAGCATCACCTCCGAAGGAAATCTATAGCTGAGGAACGACCCAGGTGACCAATTGTTGAGTAGTATTTGGAGCGGCGAATCATTTACATTGAAGGTCATGACGCTTGAGGTTCGGCTTGCTTTGTGCAGGGTTGCAGGAATGAAGGGTTGGTCCAAGTAGCTTGCGCTAAGGTCCCCCCCCCGAAAGATGGTGGGTCTTCTTGTTCTTTTCCCCTTTGCCCAGCCCCAAAAGGGCACAGGGCATGCCCCCTCCAACGTGGTTTGGACTCTTTTCTTTCAAGTCCACTCCGAAATTACCCCCCCCCCCACCAACAAAAAACAACACAATAACAAAACAACACAACAACAACCAACAGCAAAAGAAAGAGCTCCGCCTTTTCAAGCCTTTTCCGTTCTCACGAAAAGCAAAAACAAAGAACGCAGTGGATCGATCCCGGATCCGTCGAGTGGAGCCGAGTCACGGTGAGTCGCGCTGCGTCGCGGTGCGCGGTCCGTGGCATTGAGGGCGTGGTGCTGGCGGTGCCCGTGCCGCAGCAACTGGCGGCGGAGGGCCAAAAGGTTGAGGAGGCCACGAGGCGCCGGCGTCGGGCTGGGAGGGTTCGGAGTCAGAGCTAGGTCCCAGCAATTGGTGCCCTTCTCTCCCCTTTTTTGGTTGGGAGGGTTCCCCTACTCAAATAGACAGAAAAAAGTGGGTACCCTTATTCTAACCTCTCAAATCTGGAGGACCTAGATGAGGGAGGCGCGGTTCTGATTGTCTTGTAAGGAGGATTGGTACCGCTTTCGTCTCCTTCCAACCCTTTAAACATGGGCCCATGACCCTTTGTTTTTGGGTAATGACCAACCATTTTTTAAGGGTCAGAAGGAGACTCTAGGTACCGCTTTTTCTTGGTGGTTTAAGAGGGAAGCCAACCCCAGTTGCCCCCTACGGGGGTGAATATCCAAATTATTTGAGCAAAACGAGTTGTGGTCCTGGGGGCAGCTGTTGAACAAAAAACACACAGACACACAAAGGCCCGAGGACTCACGTCACAACACGGACAGATGCGTGGCTCCGCATCCAGAACCGACTCGGTATCTTTTTGGTACAACATTCAACATGTTGCAGAAAGTTAGCAATTTACATCTTCAGGGGCGCCTGAGGCGACACCCCAACAACCGACCCCCCAATTCAAGGCAATGTTACATTGACACTCTAAACTACTCTAATTCACTCTAAAGCACTCTAAAGCACTCTAAAACACACTAAAATACTAAAGCACTCTACTCTAAACCACTCTAAACCACTCTAAAACACCTTAAACCACTCTAAAGCACTCCTATTTTGCTGACACATTTCAAAAAGCAAACAAGTAAGACGTTGTCCTTGGGACGACAGGACTGGTCGCAGTAAAGTCAGAAGCAAGAACTGAATGTCGGCCCTGAATTTTCTGTTGGCTTACCAAAACTAGTTTTGCGAAAAGAAGTCGCAAAACGCCATTGGACTGGGAGGTCGATCCCCAGAAGCCCTGTAGATCACGATGCTTTAGAGAACCGACCCCTGAATTGGGGCATTTCAGGGGCATGCAGAAAAACAAAGTAAGGGCTTTTGAATTGGGGGGTCTGTCCATAAAAGCTTTTGGAGAGCAGCCATATTATGAATTTGAGAAATTGCTAGGCATCAGAAAGGACACTCCAGTTGAAGAGGTCGAACCGGATCTTTCTGTTTTGGACAAGAAAGGGCCTGTTGGCCCAAAAAAGTTTGTTGGGTGTGTCTTTTTGTTCGGGGTCCCCCTTTGATCTATTTTGTGGTTTCAAAGGAGGCTCCTTTACGGAAACCCGGCGCAGCGCGTTCCGGGTCCCTTGAAGGAAGACACATCCTGCTGCGCCCCGAGCCCAGTCAGGCTGGCGGTGGATGAGAGCCTGAAGCAGGGCATCAAGGGCAATGAGGCGCACGGGTGGCGCAAACTTGGTGCAGAGATGGTTATGGGTCAAAATTTAACCACTCGATTAACCGCAGGTTTGAGTCCATGTTTCCATTTACCAGGGTTCCATTTTGGGTGCTATCTTTGACCCACAGCCAGATGCGTGACGTGCCCGTCCTTTTTGGGTTCCCAGAGGCTCCCATTCGATTCATTTGGGGCCCCTCAACCAGCCAGGTGTTGAACCCCCCAAACACCACCCCACCCCACCCAATTTCCCACCCCACCCCACCCAATTTCCCACCCACCCCACCCCACCCCACCCAAATTTCCCATTTCCCACCCCACCCCACCCCCACCCCAGTCCAATGGAGGGGTCGGGTCTTCCATTAAACAACCCATAAGCCTCTCCAGGGTTGTTGAAATCAGCCAGCAAAAAGGATGCGCGCCTTCCTTCACCCAAAAGACCTATAATTTTACTAAAGCGTTATTGCACCCAAACGTACAGGGGGATGTCCCGTTTTTTTACGGTAGTTTGATTCTAGGATGTTTTCTTCTCGGGTGAGAGGCGGCATGGTGAACAACAATTCCTTTCAGTCCTGGTTTTGACTGTTCGCCTTGTGGGGAAACCCAATGATTTCACATTTCAAAGCTTGCCAAGCCCTGGGGGTCAAAACCACCATTAAACCAATGGGGTTCATAGAACCACTGTTGTTTACCTAAGGCATCCAAATTGGGTCCCAAGGCCATTCGTTTGATGGGGGCCAGGAACCGCAGGGTAATGTGTTGGGCGGCCAAAGGCTCCTGGGGTAGCCATGACATTATTTCACCACCATATCACCATATCAGAGGGTCCAAGAAGAAGATATTTACGGGTTTTGGGCGCAAACGTTGTGGGATGAGTTCCCATTTTAAGGGTTTTTTTTAGGGTCCGATCGGCACGTACTGTGGATGGACGAAGTCCATTTCGCACCACCCAACAAAGCTTGGGATGTTGATCCCCCTGTAAATACCAACAACTAATTGATTCCCACGGTTTCAAAGTGGTGCGAAATGGATTCCGTCCATCCACAGTATGTTGGGACGCCTGTTGGGCTCTGCTGGAATCACCTCAGTGACTTGTCCTTGGCTTTGTGCCTGGGGCTGCACCCTTCTGGAGGTATGCAGGTGTACCACTTGAGCAGCGTTTTTTTCTCAGATGATGGATTTTAGCTTCGCGGGGAACTCCCAAAAGCTCCGCGAAGGCACTTGTGCGATACATTGTGTACCGCGAAGCCCCGCGAAGCCACTTCGCGTAGCCCGGTAACATTGACACAGGCGAAGCCACTTCGCGAAGCCACTTCGTGGTTTGAGTGTGTTGCGTGCTTTCATGGCAAGTGCGTTGTGCGCTTTCATGGCAATAGTATTCCAAAGGTTGATGTTTAGAGTCAGCAGGCTACGACAAGATTACAGGAAGATTGCGGGAAGACAACCGGAAGAGCACTGTGCGTTTCAGGCCCGGTTTTGCTAGAAACTTAGGCTTCGTTTTCGCGAAGCCTCTGCGAAGCCCCCGCGAAGCCCCCGCGAAGCCTCCGCGAAGCCACCGCGAAGCCACCGCGGTCCAACTTCCATGCTCCGCCCCTTTGAGGCCCAGCCACGTCCCCTAGTCCCGAAGCTCAATGCCTCTCTTGCCGCCTTTCATCGCCCCCTTTCGCACGGACTCAACTTGATTCCACAACATGGGGCACAAACGTGAGAGATGTTTGTGGAACAAACATCCGCGAAGCCCGGCGAAGCCGCTCCGCGAAGCCACAGTCTTGCCGCGAAGCCTCGCGAAGCCAACCCTTCCACAAACTCTGGCCCCGCGAAGCCCCCCCCGTAGCCTCCCCAGCAGTGTATAAGCCCTGAACCTCTAAAAAAAACAATGCTCACTTGAAGGGATATATACCCAGAGTCTCCTTCTGACCCTTAAAAAATGCGTCCATGACCCCATGAATTTCATGGAGACTCCAGGTGCTACCTTGGCACATATGTTTAGTATAACAACAGTCATATAGCTCCAGAACCCATACTTGGATGTTGGTCTCCAAGTTGGTAAGTGGCCAACGCCACCTGGGTTATAACCTACTAGTAGGGTTGGGTTATGACTTAGGTTGCCGCTATAACTTACATGGCGAATCGAACACCCACGTAATGTTGTAGTCAACCCCAGTTCATTTATAGGGGGGTGTTCCCTCCAAAAGTGGTCTAATTCCCCACTAACACGGAAATTCACACCGGGACCCCTATATGGGTACGGGTCAAAATTAAAGCAGCAGGGGACCGCAGGTTTTAGTCCTTGGTTCCATTTACTAGGGTTCCAACACGGATACCCATTTTTGACCCGCCTAGCTGAAGAGGTGACGCCCTTCCTGCTGAAGCGCATCAACGAGCTCACCGGGGGCGAGCCGCTCGCTCCGAGTGCATAGGGCAGACAGCCGATGTGGTCGGTGGTTCTACCTGACCTTATGGTGGTAGTGATACGGCCTATGTGAACCTTAATCCTATGGTTGTCAGGGCTTTTGGGGAAAGAGAAGACCCCCTGCAAATGGTCCTGAAGGAACCCTATTGGCCATTCGCCTCTTTTTTGGCCCCTATTGGGATTGGGGTGTTTCTATTGAGGGGCCATAAGTCAATCTTCGAGACGGATGGCCTTCGGAGACTTGAGCCAATGGCGTCGGTCCTTTCACCCTTTGACCGACCCATTGTTCAATCAATGGACGCGGAGGGTTACCTAGGTCCCCCAGCAATTGGTGCCAACTTTTACCGTTTTTTTTTGGGTTGGGAGGGTTCACCTACTCGAATAGACAGAACAAGTTGGTACTCGTATTCTATCCTCTCAAATCTGGAGGACCTAGTTACAGGCCGATCCAGACTCGTCCCAACTCTGCGGAAAAGTGGTCAGTCGGCACCCCGTTTCAGCCGATCGCTTCTGATTCCCCGTGGCTCAGAGTGGGTCCCCAAAGGCGAACGACCCCTTTGCGGTCCCTCCAATTGAGGAAAACTCCATGCCCAAGGACACAACAAGCAGTCGGGACTTGCAGGTCAACAGTGAGGCCTGAAAATTCCCTCTAAAAGGGTTGCAGCCCCGAAATGATGGGCCGATTTCCCTTTTTTATAGGTACCTGGAGTCTGCATGACCCTTGAAAAATGGGGTCATTACCCAAAATAATGGGGTCATTTACCCATGTTTAAAGGGTCATGGAGACTCTAGGTAGGTTGAGGTATTGGTCACTCAACATCACGTTCGCGGCAATGCCTCCCCTGCAGCTCCGAACCAGTGAAACTGGCGAGGGTTCCTTGCTTTGGGACACCAAACTGGACTGATACTGGACTGTTCATTTCGGCAATCTGCAAGCTGAGCTCCACAAGGGATAAGAAAGATCGAAGTGGAATTCCAACACTCCATTTTGAACAGCCCAAGGAGACAAACCATTTGGGCAGAGACCCAAAATAATGGGGTCATTGACCCATTTTTAAAGGGTCATGGAGACTCTAGGTAGCGCTCGTGAAGCATCGCATCATGCCCACGCCGTCAGAAGGGCATCCGTTCCAAACAAAAACCTTCGAGTGGAGGTCCGTTTCGACCCCTCTGATGCTTAGGGTACGGTAAACAAGTCGGGAGATGCTGTTGTGCCCAGTCCACTCACGGAGTAAGTTTGCTTTGGGCAAAGCTTCGAAGCCGGATCGCTTCAACATGGGCAAATGGCTGGGCGTGTGAAGAGGAGGCCCTCTAAAAGCACATGGCCCCTCAAACTTCCCTCCGGGATTGCACCTACCATGTGTTTGGGGCAACATCCCTTCACGAGGCAATTTTGAGGGTCCAGGTGCACCTGAAGTCTCCTTCTGACACCTTAAAAGAATGGGCCCATGACCATTTGTGTTTGGGTAGTGACCCCACCAGGCGATCTGTTTTGTTCCATCCACTTTACCCCAAAAACCAGCAACAGTGACTGAACAAAAATCAGCAACAGGAGACTCTAGGTAGTTCTTCCGGGGTCCAGGACCTCAATTCAGCAACCCGACGGCCTCGAACAACGCTTTTGGGCCCGAGGTCCCTGCGCGCCAACATTGCCCTCATCAAGCACAACGCCGAGGCGCGCCGCTTGCGCTCCGCTTGCGCTTGTGGCTTCGAGGTCCCGATGCCATCCGGTTCTTCTGGTTTTTAGGCTTTTTGGGGTATAGTGTCAGAGTTTCTTCGATTCTTTGGCCGTCGGGAGCAGAATACAACAGTAGTTCCAGAGGTTCCAACTTGGCGGAAACCCTGGAAGGGTAAGGCAAGTTCCACCTGATTTGTTCTGGATGTTGCTGTTTTTGAATGGGGAAACATGGTTTGCTTATTTTGGTTTCCCAACCCGTTTTGGAGGGTGAGCTCTGGCCTGCAGGTATATTGTTTGTTCCATTGCCGCAAGCCAAATGGGCTTTGCAGCAACCCAGGGGCCATTTGTGGCTTAATGTCCCATCAATGTCCCATCAGGGCTGGAACTGGACCCTTGAAGGGATGAGTGTGTCTGGGGTTGAGGGCCAAAACAAAAAAGCAAGTACCTGGACCCTCAAAATTCCAACTTTAAAATGGTTTATCCCCATGTATTTTGGGTGTGACATCCTTCTTTTTAAGGGTAAACCGTGAACCATGGCGAATCAGCGCGTTTTGTGTTGCTCCTTACTTGCACCATTCGGGAAGAAATCTAGGTTCCCCAGCTAGGTGCCCTTTTACCAGCTTCTTTGTGGGAGGACTCCAAAAGACTACAGGACACTGGGTACCCTTATTCTAACCTGTCCACTGGAGGACCTAGCACCTGTGTTGCTTGCATGCATGTGTTTGGTTTTGTCCCCAGAATATGGAGAACTCCCCAGGAAAATACCCCGGTTGCAACAACCAAGGTCGACTTTGGCAGCACTAAACTGGAGCGGATGTGATACACATTGAACTTGGTTTGAGCTCAGTCAGAAAAGATGCCACAAACCAGACGTGCCATCTTTTTGTGCTTAAGAATGCATTGTTCATTTCCCCTGCTCGTTTTAAAGCGAATCGATCACTACTGGATTTTGTGTTCCAGGGAAAACGGAAGCAACCCATGGGTTGGCAAGGTTCGGACTCCCAACACCCAGCGGGGCTTCTGACATGTTCAAGACCACGGAAGTTGTTTTTTCTTCGGCGACTCCACGAAATGGTGACCTGGACCACTCAAACTACCCATAGGGGATGTACCCCATAAGGGCCCCATAACTTTGAGGCTATGACCAATGTTTAAGGGATTTGTTTGATGGTTCAGGTAGTGTCCTGTTCAGTTCCCTTCAAAACTATCCCAAAAACGAGTCGCGGAAAGGAAAGGAAACAGTGGTCAGAGGTGCTCCTAATCTAGGAAGTCGGCTAGAAAAGGGAAAGGACCCCCACAGTCATGGGGTGCACTCCCTTGATAAAGGGTACCTGGACCCTCAAAACCCCTTAAAATTTGGTAGTTGCTCAAAATTAAGGCATGACTAGGTTTTTCCAGTAGTGCCCTTTTACCGTTTCTTTTTTGGGGGAGGGTTCCCCTACTAACTAGACAGCAAAAAAACGGGTACCCTAGCCTTAAAATTGGTTGTTGCTCAAAATTAAGGGGTGAGTTCCCCTTTTTTCAAGGGTAGTGCGAGGGTCCAGGCAGTTGCAGGGTGGCCCACGCGGGTCTGCTAGGTGGGCGCGCTCGTAGCGGTGGAGCTGAGCAAGCGAGCACGCCTCTGAGAGGCGCTTGGGGGGCCAACTGTGGCCAACAGGGGTCCTTGGATCTACCCAGAGAAATTGGGTCAATGACCCCAGTATTGTGGGGAATGACTCCATTTTTCAAGGGTCATGGAGACTCCAGGTAGAAAACGGTTTGGAGTTGCGTGTTTTTGGTTGTCGTGGATTTCACTGTTCTTCCCCCCGTTTTTTTTTTTTTTTTTTTTTTTTTTCTCGAGATTAATCACTTAATTAGTTTACAGGGTGGATCCACAAAAGCCACATCCGAAGCCGTTTTCTAGATCGGATTCCCCTTTGCAGTGGCTTCCCTGTCGGAATCATGGATGCGGATTGGCCAACCCTGTGGCCACAAGCCCACCCCCAGTTCCCCCGGTTCGACGGGGGTCCAAAAAGTCATGCCTGGACTCAAACAGGAATTCACCTGCCATAATTTTGGGTTGCAAGAGCCAATTCTTCGGGGAATTGTGTGGGTCCAAATACATGGAAAGCTCTTTTCCCTCCAATTGGAACAGCCCTGAGAATCATAGTTGTAAGCCTAAGCCCACTACCCCCAGTTCCCCTACCATACTGTGGATGGACGGAATCCTGCACCACTTTGATGGGAAACCATTATTTGTTGGTATTTATAGGGAATCATCATCCCAAGCTCTGTTGGGTGGTGCGAAATGGATTTCGCAACCATGCACTGTATTTTTGGGTTGCAACCCATTTTCGAGGGTAGGGTCGGAGCTGCTCCGACCCTTCCGAGATAGCTGCAAGCTCGGAGGTGGAGGCTTTCGGATCAGGGGAAGACCACAGAAATCGAGGGGTACCTTCCGAAATTCCATTCTTTCCAGGGATCCTTCAATCTAGAGAACCTCCGGAAACCAAGGGAAAACGGATCCGGTGTTTGGACAGAACGATGGTTGAAAAAAAAATGGGCAAGGAATCAACCCCTAAAATACACTCCTTCTGACACTTTGAAAACGGGCGTCACGACCCCTTTCTTTTGGATAGCTCCATTTTTAAAGGGTCAGAAGGAGACTTCGGGTAATTACCCAGAAACTCACTTGCAACCAAAGCGAATCCACCGAATCTGACCTTGTGGTTTTCTCATGTTAGTCCGTTTTTAGTTGCCCCAAAAGGAATAACCCGTATATGTCCAGCTGCCCCAAAGGGCAACTGAGGAAAGCCTCATGCTCGGCGGAAGAAACCATTGGATCCCCTGGTGTGAATTAAAGGGATCTCACATGAGGGTTGTCTCAACAAGGGATGCCTTTGGTTGGACCCTCTTGTGACCAAGGAGCAAATTTGGGTCCGAGGAAAACCATCAAGAAGACAACCGCCGGTTTCTTTTGAGCAACCCTCAAACCACCCTCGACGCCGGGCACGAACTCTTGCAAAAGGCCTGTGATGCACGCAATGCTTTCATGGGTCTTCACATGGGTGTGGCTCAAACCGGTACCCAAAATGGGTTACCCTGGTAAGTGGAAACCTGGGTACCAAAACCTGCGGTTTGCCCCGATCGTTTAATTTTGATTGCCACACCCACGTGGCTTCACGTTGGCAGGGGTCCCTCGTTTGTTCCTTTGGACCTCCAGCGGCTTTCTTTGTGCCAACGGAACCCGGGAATTGAGAAAATGCCGAAAACTCATTCCAGCACTCACGGAGTGAAGAGGTTCAGGTCCGCTTTCAGGATGGTTGGAATTATCAAGAATGTTCATGACCCTTTCAAAATGGGGTCATTACCCAAAATTTAGGGGTCGTGACCCCTTTTCTAGGGGTCATGGAGACTTCAGGCAGGGTAAAGAGACAGGATGCTTAGTAGCTGCTGAGATCCACCCTGATTTAGTCCTTGGAGGACTCATGTTGGACTTCAAATCCACTGCGCATCGCCAATGGACACAATCCTATGCAGGATGTTTATAAGTCCGGTCACCCATGGCGGAAGATCTGCATGCCGCCTTTTGGCCACCTTTTCGGATGCAAGCGTCGGCATGAGTCACGCGCAACCCTTGGCCCAAGTGAAACCACCAGGTGGTGCACTTGGACTACTAGGTTTTGCCCGCCAACATTATGCTCGGTGAATTGCCTTTAAAGGGTAGTTTGAGGGTTAAGCCAGAACAAACGGCGTTACCTAGGCCTGAAGTTATTTAGGTCTAGCGTCGAAAGGTCTGGGATTGTACTGCATCAGTGTTGACATTATAACTATCCCATTTGGGCTTGGTTTAAAGGGACACCACATGGAAACCAATCAGTTTGGGGGGTCTGGGATAAGAGAGTTCATGACCCATGTGCTTTCTCGGGTATGTCTTTGCTTCAGGTTTGTGTGCAACATCTTGCAACCCGGCTCTCTGCGCCATGAACATTGATGTTCACTTGCCGAGTGGGAGCAGTTGTTCGATGTTACTCTCACCAGATACGCCCCTGAGCGAGCTCAAGGCTGCGGCGCAGCAGCATTTCCAGCGCGGATTCCTGAGGCTTGCGGCGAAGGGCCGGCAGCTCGATCTGACGGCCTCGCTGAGTCAGGAGGATCTGCGGGATGGCGACTCGGTGGAGGCGGTCGTGCAGCCTGTCAAAGTGGCTGCCGCTCAGGAGGCCTTTGCTTTGCATGTCCAGGGGGGTGACGTCGTGAGCTGGGGTCACGAAGTCTGCGGAGACTGCAGCCACGTGCAAGCGCAGCTGAGAAGGGTTCGGGAAATCCAAGCAACGGCCATTTCTTTTGCTGCCATTTTGGAATCTGGAGATGTTGTGACATGGGGTGATATAGACAATGGCGGAGACCGCAGCGAGGTGCAAGATCTGAGGAATGTGCAGCAAATCCAAGCAACTAAATACGGGGCGTTCGCTGCTATTCTAGAATCAGGGGCTGTTCTGACATGGGGTGATCCAGATAACGGCGGAGACAGCAGCCAGGTGCAAGAGCAGCTGAGGAATGTCAAGCAAATCCAAGCGACCAACTTTGCTTTTGCTGCGATTCTAGAATCCGGGGCTGTTGTGACGTGGGGCGATCCGGACAATGGCGGAGACAGCAATCAGGTGCAAGAGCAGCTGAGGAATGTGCAGCGAATCCAAGCGACCAGCTTTTCTTTTGCTGCAATACTGGAATCTGGGGCTGTTGTGACATGGGGTTGTCAATTTTCTGGAGGCGACAGCAGCCAGGTTCAAGAGCAGCTGAGAAATGTCCAGCACATCCAAGCAGCCTCTCACGGTGGGTTTGCTGCCATTCTTGACTCTGGAGATGTTGTGACATGGGGTGATCCAGATTCTGGAGGTGACAGCAGCCAGGTGCAACATAAGCTGAGAGATGTTCAGCAAATCCAAGCAACTGCCCGTGCGTTTGCTGCCATTCTTGACCCTGGAGATGTTGTGACATGGGGCGATCCAGACTCCGGAGGTGACAGCAGCAAGGTGCAAAAGCGGCTGGTGAATGTTCGGCAAATCCAAGCAACAGGTGGGGCGTTTGCTGCCATTCTGGAATCCGGGGCTGTTGTGACATGGGGTGCTCCAGATAGTGGCGGAGACAGCAGCCAGGTGCAAGAGCAGCTGAGGAATGTCCGGCAAATCCAAGCCGCTAGCGGTGCGTTTGCTGCCATACTGGAATCTGGAGCGGTTGTGACCTGGGGTGATCCAGACTACGGCGGCAACAGCAGCCAGGTGCAAGAGCAGCTGAAGAATGTCCAGCAAATCCAAGCCAATAGCATCAATTTTGCTGCCTTCCTAGAATCTGGGGCTGTTGTGATGTGGGGCGATCCACGTTTTGGCGGAAGCATGAACAAGATCAATAAAATGACCATGATGCAATGAGCTCCAACATGCCTGCAAGGCCAGTCCGGCCCCAACGACATTCTCAACTCGCTGCTCATTTTGCTGTCCTCCCGCAGGACTATATGGCAGTGGCTCAAAAAACCGGTACCAAAATGGAACCCTGCTAAGTGGAAACATGGACCAAAACCTGCGGTTTGCCCCTCCTATTCAATTTTGAGCCACACCCATATGAGTCCCTTCTGGCCCCAAGCAAAAGCACGCCTGGCAGCAAGACAGCTGAGTGGCTGAAATGATTTCCAGCACGCGATGTCCAGGACTTCCGTCGCACGCGTTGCTGCACGCCCTGGAGCAAAGCCGAAGGGCCCTGCCATGAATTTACCGGAAAAAAAGGCACGGCTAGGTTTCCTCTACCTAGGTTTCCTGCTTGTCCTTTCTAAAGCCAATACAATACGGGGTTCCCCAAAATTAACCCCCTAGATAGCCAAGTTGTGTTTTTGTTCAGTCACTGTTGCGATCGGTTTTTGGGGTAAAGTGGATGGAAAAAAAGCCACTGGCGATCCAGGCATGGCGCGCCGCGCCGTTGGGTTTCTGCTTCGGTCCAAATACTGAGAAACCCGGGTTTGGCTTCGGGGATGGGCAATCCCGCGTCCATATGGCTACCCATATTCAGAGCCGCGACGAGTAAGGGTATGGTGTTTTCTGAAGACTCAAGGGCCATTTAGTGCACTCAGTTCAGAGAGGGATGAGTTTGGTTAGCCCACCGGAGTCGAAAGACTTGCAGCCAAGGCTATTTTGATGAGTCCAGGAAGTTCCCCTGGATAAAAAACGCCTACTTGGTAGGCTGGCTATAACCATAGTGATAAGCCGACAAATCCGAGTTGCCCGAGTTACAACCATGGCACCTACTTACTCAAGTTGACCATCCAAGTAAGGACCTTCTCCTCCTTTGTTTTTGTGTTTGTTTATCGCTCTTCTTTTCTTTGGAGGGGGGGAGGGGAAGGAGGTGTTAGAAAGACACACACTTAGTTGGCTTTAGAGGGTCCCTATTTTGACGAGCCACACCCATGATTGTTAAGATCGATCCCCACCAAAAGGAGTCTATGATTACGTGATGCTATGTATGGGGTTCGGCTCACTAATTGTCCAACGTCCTCTTGGTCAAACAAGTAATTTTGACCGTGTCTCACATGATTCATATGGTGCAGACCAGTTGTCTCTGACCAGTGGCAGGTTAATGTCATAGCACTGGTCAACATCAACAACCAACTGTAGGGGTTAGCATGATATATTCAACACGCATCATATCACACAGTCTCAGGGATTATCAACATCCAGTCACCAACTGCAGGCGCTAGATACGCCAAAATATGCGCAATTATGATATCTCAGCAATTGTGATATCTCAGCACCCAGCCATCCCACAGCCCTTTGGGGGTCATGACGGTCATGACCACCACCAGACCTGACCAGATTCTTCACCGGCCATATTCAGCAAGACTCATACCTGGACCCTCAAGCTACCCATAAAGAGGGACTTCACCCATCATTTTGGGGTAATTACCATCTTTACGGGTGTTTTGAGGATCATTTCGGGGCACCAGCCATGTTGAAGTGTGTTTTGAGGTTCCAGGTAGACATCCTCTCTTCGTCCTGGTCACGCCGCTGCAGCCATTTCATGGACACGGTCCTCTTCCCATGGCAAGCCGTTTGCCTTGGCACCCCCATCCAACAGGGCGCTCAGGATGTGAAACCCATGAGTATCAAAGCCCGGATCAGAAAAGAGGGTGGTGGTGGATCACTCGGGGTTTATTGCTGGTCTTAGTTGTTGGTCTTAGAGTCGCGTGTCGGTTGTTGGCCTTAGTCGCCCATGTGAACCGGGGTTGTTTATCCAACCACGTCTGTGATACAAGTTGGAATCCCCCCCTTTTTGGGGGACTAGGCTTTGGGAACCCAATCTGTTGTTGTATCACAGAGTCGTGGAGCCCTGACTAAGAGGGCTGATTGTGCAGTGGATCGATATCCTGTTACACACAGACTCACAGACACGCAGACACACACACACACAGAGACACGCAGACACGCAGACACACAGACACACAGACACACACACACACAGGCACACAGGCACACAGGCACGCACACACACACACACAGCTAAACACACACAGACACAAAACACAGAAAGACATATATATATATATATAGATACACAAGTATATCTATATGTATATCTATGCATATATAGATATTTATTTATCACAAACCCATATACTTCAATACAGCCCATTTCCTCTTGGCTTGGCAGTGGAACCCCATAGACCTTCTGTGCTTTTCGCGCAGGTGACTGCCTGGGCCTCGACGAGCAGAAAAGATGCGCCTGTTCGAAGGGGGGGGGGGGTCTTTTTTGAAGGTGCCCACTTTTGGTTGCCCTGAACAAATACACAGAAAACGGGTGGGGGGGTGCGTAAATCAAAGAATCACCCAAAGTGTTCATTCCCCAAGGGTACTTAGATGTTCGATTCGCCAAGTTAGTAAGTGGCCAGGTAGCCACCTGGGTTCCAACCCCACATTTTTTGGAGGCTGAGATAAGTAGCGTTTAACCAAACGGCCACACACAACTAAGTACCCGCACCCTCAAAATTCCACCCTGAGTTGTAGCCCACTAAGGTGAACTCCTCTTCGCGGGACTTCTGAGTTGATAGCCTCGGTGACAAACAAGCTAAAGTCACTGACTTGGGGAATCGAAGGCCCAAGTGGCTTGAATAGGAAGCCCAAAGAAAGCCAAGCATGTTTGTGGTATTTTGAGGCAAACCCAAGTCCAACCTAAGCTGAGACAGGGATTTGGAGGCGACATGTACCCTGGATTTTTTTGCAAAGAGGGGTGGCTGTGATAGTTGGATACAAATCCATATAACGGGGGGGTTGTTTATAGGCGCCTAAGCCCGCAAACTACCCATACAGAATGTGAGGTTTGGCCCTGGGTCGGGCTTCCGAGACTGAAACCCACGCTCTTTTTTTTTTTTGGGGGGGGGGGGGGTTTGGGTGGGGGGTGTTAAAAGGGAACCAAAAGGAGAACCCACCAATTTGGCGGGGTTTCCCCATAAGCAGACCCACCCATTGGTCTTTGCCCTTGAAGTGGTGAACACCTCAGCCTCGCGCTCCACTCCAAGGGTCCCCTAAACGACGGCTTTCTCAAAAAGACGTTGGTCTCTTTCGAGGCCCAAATCGGAATTGGTCGACGTTTTTTATAGGGCCCCGGGTGCCCCAAAAAAATGATCACCTGTTGGTGTCACGAGAAAAGAAACAAAAAGACGCAACAGGGGCAGAGAAAAAAGACGAGCCCATATATGGAAATCAATGCACTGGGCTGAGTATTTGGAACTTCCCTGATCCACTCAGCTGGATGTACCCAAGCGCCCTTTTCGGCCCGAGGGTCTGAGTTGCTGATTCTCATGTTTTTTCTTGGTACTGAAGGTGGAGGTGGGGTATCCATTTCAGGCACCTGAACCCTCAAAATTCCAACTTAAGCATGGGTTATTCAAAATCACAATGGGCAAATCCCCTTATTTTGAGGGTCCAGACATATGATTGTGCACTTGCAAGCTCACCAACATGGAGGTTTATTCAGAAGCCAATTCCTATGGTTGACACAGTTGAGTTGTCATGGAAGATCAGATTGAACCATCCCCCCGTTTGTGTGTGTGCCTGGACGCTCTTCAAAAATGGGTTTTTGGCCCAAACATATGGGGTGAATTCCCCTTTTTGGGTTGGTCCAGGTGTGTGTGTTTGGTCCTGTTGTTCCGAAGAGATCCTGGGGTGTTTCTGGACACGCAGGGCGCGCCTTGCAACCAAGGCCCAAAGAAGTTCTCATGTTTTGGAATCTGTCACAAATCCATCGATGGGTTGGTGAAACTTGCAACATAAATAAGGTCCGGTTGGAACTCGGATTTGAACCCCTTCTTGTAGAGGGTAGATGGGAAACCCCCTCCAAAGCACCATCAAACTGTTAACTGGGGGGGAACTTGCAACATGAGTTAGAATCAAAACCCGGGTAGATGAAGCTTAGTAAGGGACAATCCCAGCCATAAATCTTTACATGGTTATTGGTAAACCATTTTAATACCGGGTTTTGATTATGACTCACCTGATCTTGGCCCTCGAACTGGGGGCTTGGAACCCGCTTCCAATCGTGCGCCTGGTTTGTCAATTAAAAGAAGGGTGCAAGCATCATTTTGCCTGCGCTGAATTAATGCAATTCACTTCTCCAAGGCCAACCCTCCTTTGTGCATGGTAACCAGGGACGATTGCTTGCAGAGGGTGAGGGGAAGAATAAGCTTTTCATGTTCAGAGCTTGGAGAGAGATGAGCAGTTGCTTCATGGGGATGCGCAGTGAGCGGCTATGCGTTGGCGTTGAGTTCGAACTGGCTCAAGCTCAACATGAAGGCAACTAGATTTCTCCGCAGCCAAAGTAGCACAGCCACCCACTGGCTGTAATTTCTACACACACACACACGCACACCTTTTCCGAGCATTTGGCGGGCGAACTTGAGTTCCATTGGTTTACTCAAGGCTTGTGGGCAACAAGAGGCATGCCAGACCTGGTTCACGACACAATTTCCTGCTACTTTGGTATCATACCAAATGTAAAAGACGAGTCTTGTTTTTATGGAAGCCGCTTGTTCTCACCAGAACTGTGCCGCTTGAAAAGAAAAACCGTGGGAAACGCCATGAAGACACTGCGAGCAGGGGCCCTTGCGCTCTCAGCGCTGTTGCTGGGGTGGAGCAGATCCAGGCCAGAGTCAGTCAAGCGCGTGAGGGTACTCTTTTGTTAAGAAGGGCTGGTTTGAAAGGAATCCCACCACCTTTAGGGTCCCCATGTTTAAACACACGCACACACACACACACATGTATGTGTCTATATACATATATTCTCATAACCAAACAAGCCGCAACAAATTAGACAAACCTCCCCCAATTCAAAGCTGGGTGGGTTTTGTGGTTTCCCTTGAAGCCACAACGAAGGGTGTAGACCTCAACAAAGGACGAGCTACCCATTGGCTTCCTTTCAGCTTTCGTCAGCCGTCCAGCTTTCCTTTCGTGCCGAACCCATGCGATACATTGGAGCCCTGCACCAGAAGTTCTCAGAGCCCTAAGAGCCTCTTCCAACAAGGTCCCAAGAGCCTTTCCAGGCGGGCAAAGTGGGGGGCCTGTAGTTCCTCCCCAATCGGCGGGGTGGGGAACCTTTTGGGGCCCTTAGTTACTCCGGCGTGGCTTCCATGAAGGAATGCAGGTGATGGGTGGAACGGGGTGGACTTTGTGTCAAGATGTGTCTCAGGGGAACCCACATGGCTTGTTTCCTTTTGGTTTCCCGAACAACCCCAAAAGGGTACCCGGTAGAAGACACTACCAAGACACCACCAAGTGTTGACATTTACCAGAGACCACCTAGTCGCTCGCCGCTTTCAGGCAAACTACTTTTTGCAGGGATTGTTCATAGCCATCTACTAGTGGTTTTTAGGCAAACCACCTAGTCACTGAACAAATTCAGTGGCTTCCACTCTTATCTTTTTTTTGGTCAGTTGTGATACCAACCCAGCCGCTTCTTATTATGCCAGTGGGCAACTCAGTAAAAAGCGCCCGCGCCTTTTGACAACTTCCTGGGTTCATGGACTTTATACGTTCATGTTAGTGGCATACAACAAGTTTTGACGTTTTTGTGCTTCACATATCTTGGTGGGATCCGAACAAGATTCGAGTTGTCAACTTTGCAGACTCCCGTCCCAAGAAAAGCACCACGCTCCATGTTGCTTCTGGCACCCGTTTGTTTCCGGCATGTGCCTGCTAACATGGCTCCGGCCCATGTTTTGTAGCTTGTCCGGGGACTGATTTCTCAGCATGTGGAATTGAAGCGACTCTGGGATTGTATTTTGGAGAGGATGATGCGCTGAACGACCTCGAATGAGTGCAAGGTGTCGACTTGGTATGCCGCAAGTCCTAAATGGAAAAAAGAGCTCCGCAAGGATGCCTTGACATGGCGTGAAAGAGAACCCTTTGGTCGCAACCCTAAGTTTGAGGGCACCCCCCTTTCTGTCTTTGTGCTGAAAGTCCACTGGACACCACCCGCTTTGAGGGTCCGCCTCCCAGTGTCTGATTGGCATTCTTCGCTTCTGGAGGCATTGATCCGTCCTTGGCGCTACGCACGCGGATTCTTAGTAAGTTAGCAACTCTGGCTATGACCTGTTTGAGGGGCTTGCTCGTCTTTTGTGGGTTGTACCGATGGAGCCCAATCACTTCCCTTTGCGTGTAAGGGCAATTCAGGTACTGGTATGGGGTTTGGAGGTATATGGACGCTTTCATACCACCAATAAAAGCCCACGAAAGTGTATACACCTATATATATATATAGTGGTGTATAACCTGCCTTCCTCGCACACACCCATGCCCGCAAATGCCCTTGAGCCACGGAGTCGCAGGTCCTTCCTCGCGGACGGCGCCGGCCCCAACCGCCGGCAAGCCGCCGCCGCGTCGCTCGCCGCGTCGCTCGCGCCGCTCGCCGCGCCGGGCGCGGCGCGGGCGGAGTCGATGGAGGAGGCGGCAGCGGCGCAGGCGGCGTCGCGGGTGAGCGTTGGCCTCACAGGCGGGGGGATCGAAAGGTTTCCGATTGGAAAGTGGTCGGTGGACATAGACCTAAATGATGTCCACCGGCCACAGGGTCCCGAATTAAAATTAACGCCCATCTTGCGTCTCATTCGAAGAATACACATTTTCACACCCTCATCTGGTTTACCAAACTTTGGCTCGTGGAAGAGTGCTGCCACTGAATGTTGACCCCATATTAATCAACACCAGTTTTTGTTAATATGGGGGGGGTTTCTGGGTCTAGTGGTTTGAATCAGACCACTTGTTGAGGGGCCCCAACCCACCCTATTAACAAACTGGGGTTGATTAATATGGGGTCAACATTGCTTCTGAAGCTCGCCCGAAGCTTGCCCGAAGCGAATGCTGAAACAATTACCAAAGCCTTACCTCTTCTCCCGGAGTTCCTGGACTTCAATTTTATGGGAATGACCACTGCAGTGGTGAATAACAAGTTCAGACTTCTTTTGGCCAGTTCACTCAGGAGCCGAGGAATGCCAGCTCCAATTGAAATGTTTAATAGATAACAACAAACAACGATAAATGACACACAACACGTGTTCGTTTTGACAGGGGCACAGAAGGGCTGACTGGCTCCCAGGCAGGAGTTTCCTGGACCCGAGTGGAGTCTTTTTCCTCCCGTGGCTCCCCCGATTGTTGAATAGAAGCATCGAGCAATTCATGAACCCTTCCGCTTTGGGGAGAGGATGTCCACTGCCCCAAACAACTACCGCTTGAAAAACTAACGGGGTGCACAATTGGTTCTATGCCCGCAGGGCTGGCAGGCTGAATGCATGACCCCCCCGGAGCTGATCAATTCACTGTGAATCCTGGGCGTTCTGGGGAGCCGGAAGGGTGCAACATGGCCCAAGATCAAGATGTGACTACAATAGCTCACCTGGAATTTGAATCTCTACCCGGTTGTGGCCCTTTTTTTTTGCGGCATCCCCTTGGGTTAAGGTAGCTGGAGCGCACGTTTTCCCTTGTTACCTACCAAAAGGGGCCTTGCCTGAATCCACCGGATTGATTAGCGGTTGTATCACATGAAGCTCGTCGACTTCGGGGTCGCTATTTGCACCAGAGCCAAATTTTGATGAGTTTCCTAGTGATGTTTAACAGCGAAACGACTTGATTCCTATCGGCTTGGATCTTTAGACTAAAACTTTTTGTGGAAAAAAAGTGGGTTTTCCATGGAACACACAAGTTGTTTCACTTCTTGTGGGGTCGTTTCAGCACCCGGAAAAACGAATCCTGTCAGGGGACGACCTGGTGCTGCCCGCCTACTTCGCGGGAGACTGGGCCGTCGCGGGGGAGCTGTCACTCGGCAGGAATTGGTTTGCCTCCTAGGCCTTCGCGTGGGGTTGGCGGAGGGCGAGATTTGGGTATGGGTCAAAGGTCAAAATTACACCACCAGGAGATCACAGGTGTTGAAGTCCATGTTTCCACTTGCCAGGGCAAGCCACTTGGGGTACCTATTCTTGACCCACAGCCATTTGTTTGAACAACCACCCGGACCCTCACATTTCCCTTGAGTTCCATTTTTCTTGTGGGTAGGTTGACAAGTTGAGGGTCCAGGCAGACCACAGGCGTTTGATTTTGCAAATGTTTGTGGGTGATGAGACCCCGGTTCCTCGGGAGTTTTAGTGTTTTTCAGTTGGTATTGGTGGCGTGGTTAGGTTTCCGAATTTAACCCACTACAAGTTTTATTGTGTTGTTTTTCTTGAACAAGGAAAATTAATAATGAAATGACATAGAAGACACTGAAGACAAGTAAAATGAACAAAACAGCAGGGAGGGATCAGTTTGGTCACTTGTTGATGGGCTCTTGCCAGGCCTTCGGATTTGGAGCGACGAGTGTTGTCTCGGACAAATTCGTGGACGCAGAAATTGAGCGGAGCTCGACAGTCGATGTGCAGACACTTGCAGAACTCGCCACAATGAATAAGAACAATTTTCCCATTCAGCAAAATGTGTGTTTTCTCTGAAATGTAAGTGTTTTTTAGCTGGATCAACAAAAAGAGACATCAACACTTGTGCCCGAGGAAGAACATTCAGAACGCCAGATTAATCAACCTGCTGCATTACAGGGGCAGGTGTTTCCCCCACAAGTGAGCGACCCCTTTCAATTGGTACGGATCAGAGGGGTATAGACCTGGGTTTCACTGCGCAGGTTGGCTCAGGGTTTGCTCACCGCAAGCTAAAGGACCTGAAGGAGAAAGTGGGAGCCAATGCCTAGTTGATTCTCATGAATCTAGCAAGGCATGCACCCTTTAGACCTCCTGTTGGTCTCCCTAAGTGCACTGAAAAGGGGCTGCTTCTTCAAACATCTTTGGCCAACGCTACCAGGTGGAAAGTCAGAAATTGAAGGGGACTACCACGGATACAGCATGCTGATAGACGTGGCGTTGGTAAAGATCCATGGCAACCCGCAAGCAACGTTTCCAGTTTCCAGTTTGGTTGCCTACTGCAAGATATACCTGGACCCTCAAACTACCCATAAACAAGGAAATCACTCCACATTAAGTTTTTCCCTTTTGCAAGCGCTTTGTATTCCCCGAGAACCACCAAACAGTTGTTCTTTCCGCAAAGGGTCCACTCGTCTTGGCCAAGTGTCCTACGTTTGCAATTCGCAGCAAGCCGCTTTGGACCCCGCGCGATGCTTTTTGAAGATGTCGCTCTTCTCAATTCTCGGGGAACCCCAAAATGGCGAGTGTCCTTTTGTCTTCCCTCTAAAACCACCCAAAAAAAGGCGTTCATCAGAAAGCCTCCGACGTTTGTGCCCGTTCCCCTTCCAGTGGTTTTGTGCAGCTAGGGTCGTCTCAAAAATTGGCCACCCCAAGCCTTCGGTAAGCTGTTTGCTGTGGGCAAATCATCGCGACGTCGCATTTTGTTTGTTACTTTGGGTTGCGACGTCAAGTGTTTGTTTTTCCTTTCTTGTCGGATTGCTTGTTTTCGGTTGGTGAATTTTTGTAAGCATCCAAGGTCTGTATTTTTCTAGAGAAATCGCGGTTCATTTCTCGCTTTTCGTTTGGTGAATTATTGTGTTCTTGGTATCCAGATACAGTGGATGTGCTGCCATATTGCACGTATGCACACGAAAAATCACAAAACCGCGGAATCGGAGAATCAGTTTCCCAATGTCCCCCTGGCAATAGGAGGCTTAACATAGGAGCTCCCACACATTGGCTTCGGCTGCCCTTTTAAAGGCTTCCCTGCAAACTTGTGCCCCCACACGGGTGCCTCAAAAAAAACCTCACCTGCACCCTCGGGTTGTAGCACTCCAAAAATGAGGGGCCCTCGAAACTGGTTTCCTGAAGGGTCCCCCAAGGGCCAAGGGGTTCTCCATTGAGCCCGGGGGTCTGGAGGGGTGAGTCATGACCCTTGGGGTGGGTGAATTTTCTGTCTTTTTCCCTCCACCATCGCCAGGTGCGATCGCTTTTTTCCACGCACTTTGCCCCCCAAGACCAGCAACAGTGGCTGAAAAGAGCGATCGCAACTTGGCTAGCGGCGGTTTCCTCGGGTTTCTGGGCAACTCGCCTCGTTTTTTGGGGGGTCCGATTCGAAGGTACAAAGTGGAGACGGGGCCGCTGGGCCAGGGCGCCCTGACCTCCGCACTGCCGGGAAGCCGAGACGCTGATATGCGCTGAGGCCGGGGGCCATGGCTGTCCCCCCAAAAAAGAAGAAGACCCCTAAGCATCAATGGGCCCTCAGAACGGCCTTCTTTGCGGTCCAAAACCTTGCAATGGAGACCCTGGCCCCTTCAATGGAGGGCGCAATGATGGTTAGGGAAGACAACCTGAACCCTGAAAAGTCCAACTCAAAAATGGGTAGCCGCAAAGTTCTGGTGGGTGACTTCCCTCTTTACGGGTGTTTTGAGGGTCCAGGAAGTTCTCACTCACGACCGAGTTCCGTTTCGGGCTTGTTGGTCACTGTTTGGGCGTTTGCGACCATTTTAGTGGTGGATGAAAAAGTTCAGTTACCTTTTTTTTCGGTAATTCAGACATGGCGATGTTCAACCTACTTAGTCAAGTATATTACCATGGCGTTTCGTGCCAACTAAGCCCTGCTACCAAGCAGTTATAGCCTTGAAGTTAAGTCTGGACTTCAATCTCTCGAGCTTGTTTTGGATGCCCCAGCTTCATGGCAAGTGCTAAAACATTGCTGGAAAGAGCGCTAGACAAGTGCATTTGATGGAATCCATAGGCGCATCCAACATATTGACCTGGACCCTCGAACTCGCCATAAGAACGGGTGCTTCTTCTAAACAATTGAGTGAATGCCATTTTGTAAGGGTAGTTTGAGGGTCCAGGTAGATAGACATTTCGGGCTTTGATCATTTGTGTGGCAGAAGGTCGTGACTTGTTGGCCATCTCGTCAGTTTTTTTGGCGGGTTGGTCCCGATTTTACTTTGAAATCCAGACACCCACACAACAAATTGGTTCCAAATAATGGCTTCAACATCAAGCAACAAGCATACCTGGGCCCGAAGAAACTACAAATATGAAAGGAACTCACCAACCATAATTTTATAGGGCAACAACCAATCTTCAAGGAATTTTGAGGATTCAGGTGACACCATAACCCACTCGGCCACTGCAAAACGGAGTTTCGACCATGGCACAAATTATTGGGGCCCCAGCTCTACGGACACCACAGACATGTGAACTTAGAGTCCCAAAATGGCCGGCATCCCCAGCCTGCAAATGGAATTGGGGGAGGGGGGTGACTGGAATTCCATTTAGGAAGTTCCATTTTGCTTTTTGCGGTTGGAACTGAACAAATGGAATTGTTTGCCCCCGCGCCCCCCTCCCCCTTAAGGTAGGGGACATTTTGGACTCCGCATGCGCTTTAAGGCACAAAAGGAAGTCCTCAGTGACCAGGTCAGAGTCTACTTTCCATCGGGTGTTCCGTTTTTAGGTCACACCCAGGGCTACTAATCACTTTAAGAACTTCCAGTCCAGTTCTTAGTACCCTTTTCCCTTTTGTTGTTGAGGGGCTTCCTTGTAAAAGACCACTCAAACTTCCTGGACCCCCACAATTCCCTGAAACATGTGTTGTCGCCTCAAAATTACGTATAGAATTCCCCTTTGCATGAGTAGCTTGAGGGTCCAGGTACCCGTAAAAATGGGTCATTGCCCCAACATGGTGTGAATCCCATGTGGCTGTGGTTTTGCTCGAGGGTACTCCCTTTTTTAGTGGGTTTTGCAGGGGAACCAAAAGGAAACCCAGAATTTGCATGGGTCCCCGCAGAAAAACTTCTTGCTTCCCAGCCATCCGCTTCGCTTGTTTCAGCTTTTCCCTGCTTGCAAGATGTCCATGTCGCCCACTAAGAGGGGTCGACTTCTTCGCCGGGCATCTGAAAACGGAAGAGACGAGCCCCGCGAGCCTCCCACCTCGCCGCGAGCCGAGGCCAGGTGTGCAGGAGGCTCTCCGCAAGAACTCCCTGGCGGCGGCTCGGATAGCCAATGGCCATTGGGCCATTGGGACCCGAAGCGATTGGTCATTGGAGGAGCCATGTGCCTGGAGTCTCCTTCTGACCCGAAGCAAAAATGGGTCAATGACCGTCACGAGTTTGGGTCATGACCCACCATTTTTCGAGGGTCATGGAGATCCAAGCACCTAGATGGCCAAGTCGCGAAAAAGCTTTTTTCGGCCACTGTTGCGATCGGCTTTTGGGGGATTTGAGTGCATGGAATAAAAAAAACAGCAACTGGCGATCCAGGCGTTTCTTTTTTGGTTGGGAGATTCGGTTCCCCTAGTAAAATAGACAGACAACAAATTGGTAGCCTGGTTCTAACCTCACCGAGAACCTAGGTGGGCTCCAACCCGGGGAAAACAACCATAGTCCCTGCCACAAAAACGGTCCAGGTCCAGGTTATTGGGAGAATGGTGGGTTCCAACCCAGGGGAGAATCAGAAATATTCACTTCAGCAAATGGAAGCTTTGCAGCCTCAAAATTCCGACGAAAAATGAGGTGAGCTGCAACCCGTAATTGTGGGATTGGTGAATTCCCAGTTTTTATTTGGGTAGTTTGAGGCTCGGTCCAGGTATCTCGGTGCCTTTTCTTCTTTGTGGTATTGAAGGAAAACCTACAGGAAACCGACATCCATGTTGGGCGGGCGGGGGGGGGGGGGTCCTATTTGCTCACCTGCCCAAAGCCAACCTTTGGACCTATCGGGTTTCCGATTTGGCTGTATGTTTAATGTGCCAAAAGGTTCTCGTTATCACCTTGTGGATTTCTAAAGGGCAACTGAGGTGAATTGTTTTACCCAGAGGCCACTTAGGGCCCTCATTAACCGCCAGGTTTTGAGACCGGGTCCCAAACACCGGTTAGCGGGGGTGTTTAACGGAGGGGTCGGGTCTTCCATTGAAAGACGAAACCAGGAGCCTTCGGGGAAGCTGCAAGTGTATTTCCTCAAGGGACTCGTTTTGGTATGTTAGGCGACGCTTCGGAGGAGACCGGGGCCTATTTCAGTTCGGTTCGAAGGGAGAACCTAGATGTGGAAGGCTCGTCTCTTACATCAGGCATTGCACCCAGGACCCCAAAATGGACGTTTCGTCTTGTTTTTTCCTGTTGGCGTCCCTTTAAAAACCACCAAACAACGGGTTGCCGCAAAAAGCAGGACGCGCTGTTCAAACGTGCTGGTGGGTCGGATCTAAAGACTTCAACTCGGGACATGTCAAGTTGAACACTTTTGGCACAAGGGAACAACCAACCTTGGCATCCTTTAAAGGGGGACTAGAAGAGAGTCGATTCATGAGATGAATGCCCTGCCCGCCTCTCCCCCTCCAAAAAACGAAAGCAAGACAGCAAGAACAGAAAACAACGAGAACACCTTCATCCGGTTTTGACAGCATTTGGCACAGGCGGATGTTCATTGTTCCTGACCCTCAAGCTGGATACAGTATGTCTCCACCTGGACCCTCACACCCTTAAACATGTGTGCCCCAACACGGAGTGAGTTCCCCCTTCTTTACGGGCACCTGAACCTCTCAAAATATCTTAACCATGGGTTCTTGCACCCCAACATGATGGTTGCTGAATCTCCTCATCTTTTCTATATGTGTACCGAGATAGCCAAGTTGCTGCTTTCTTCAGTCACTGTTGCTGGTTTTGGGGTTTAAAATCCACGGGAAAAAGGGGGAGACAAAATAGCACCTGGCGATGCAGGTAGTTGCTGCGGGTCCAGGAAACGCTTTTTGTTCGGCTCGGACGCCGCCTGCACTGACCAGCCCACCGATGTCCAGACGCCATGCCTCACGGGTTTCGAGGTGGGAGCGCCGGCCGGGGAGTTCCGGGCCCGGCGCCGGTGGAAGAAGTGCAGCCGGACGGCCCCCGGCGGCGGTGCCGGCGTGGAGGAGGAGCGAGGGCGTGGACCTTGTTTTTCGAAAGTGGCTGGCTGGACCCTCAAACTGCCCGAACGAAAGGGACATCACTGTCTAATTTCGGGGCTGCAACCCATTTCTAAGGGAATGGTATCACTTGAACTCACCTCATAATTTTTGGGGCTGCAACCCATTTTCGAGTTGGAATTCTCAGGGTCCAGGTGGCTGATGCCAGGGGAAAACCAATGACAGGAAGCCGCCGTGTTTTTTCTTACTCCCGAATGAGTTCCGATTCGGGGTTTGGTTGGGGCTTGTGTCCCGCGAGGTCCAGCTTCTTCCCGTGGCTGCCAAAACGCATATCTCTGCTTGAAAAAGCCTCCGCCAACATCTCTTGTTGGAGCTTGCGCCAGCGTCGTCGTAGTCTACGGACAGCATGGACGGCTGGATAACATCAGCCAGGATGGGCGGTGGAAACAGTCGGAGAGGTTCTTGGTAGGCGACAAGCGCTACACCCGCACGGCAGGCGAGTGGCCTGGAGCTTGCCCACAAGCTGCATGCCAGTGAGGATCTCCGACTGCAGGTCCCTTTATGACCTGCTCACCAAGGACGGCGTGGCAGCCGCCGAGAGGAGACTCACATTGGATGAGGCCATCAAAGAGTCGGCAGAGCACATGGAGCCGGAAGCAGCCATTTTAGTGTAGATTAAACACAGAAAACAATCGTTACCTGTTTTGGCCAATCCACTCGATCGGAAGTGAGACAAGGTAAGACCCACAGGAAGCCGTGGCCGTTTTTTGATTGCAGGATCTTTGGGAGGCTTGGAAAATATACCTAGACCGAGCCTCAAACTTCCAACTTATAAATGGAAATCGAACATTTTGGTTGGCGAAATGCTTTTTTCAAGGGTAGTTTGAGGGTTTCCACTAGGAGAGTGCCACTTAGCTCACAATTGTTTGCGATTCCCTTTTGGGGTTTCTTCAGTTTCTCTTAACCTTGGTTGTTCCCAGCCATCCGTTTTGGTGTTTAGGGTTTGAGGGTTCACTGGGGGCTTTCATTTGACCCACTACAAGTTAAAATTTTAGTAGGGGATCTGAGGACAGCCCAGTAACGAGTTGCCTTCTTGCCAGTGCTCGGATCGTCCCAAGATGTCCCAAGTTGACGTGGGACTTGTTGTTCTCCCACGCCAACGAGGGGTGGCCTGTCTTCTCCTAAACATCTTGGGCCCTCAAACAGAGGCGATTTGAGGTCCAAAACCTTCGAATTTAGGTCCTGACCTCTTTGTGTCTTTTAGAGGGGTTTCCCGTAAAACTCAGGACGCACTTTGTTTCCCTTGGCCAAAGGTCTGGGGAAGTTCGGCAAGGAGACAAGTACATACTTGGAATCTCAACCTACCCTTAAAAAAAGGAGACCCTCACATGCTTTAGCAAAAGCTGAAGATGTAACATCCTGGACCCTCAAACTACCCTTCAAAAGGGAAGGGTTACTTTCGAAGAAGGCTCAAGGGAAACCAGCCAAAAAACAACAATCAGTTCTAGCCCTGTGGATGGTTGCGAAATCCGTTCGCACCACGAACAGCAACCATGGGAATGAAACCATGGTTTATTGGTATTTATACAGGGAAAACGAATCCTTCCCTTGGGTTTCTGAACGGTGTGTTGCATGGATTTCGCAACCATCCACAGTAGGAACACCCAGTGCTTTCGGTCTCTGGCTCCAAACGTCGAAGCCACTTGGATCTCCTTTGAAACCAAGCCTTCAGTGGGTGGCTTCCTTTTGCAAGTTTTGGTTGGAGGGGGGGGTAATTGGCCTTTTGCCTTGGTTTTCCAATGTGGCCACTGGGGTGGCTTAAGCTGAAGATGGCTACCCTCGACGAAAGGCGCGGGGCATTTGATTGCCTGAGTCGACCCTCGGTTTGCCAGGAGTTGGGGAGGGTTGGGATGCGTTCACGGAGGTCAACGAACATGCCAACAAGCTTCTAGCGCGCATGCCGCCTCCCTGAAGAGGGTGCGGAATTCATATGCCGTGGCTTGGGGGAGCCATTCAAGGAAGCCTAGCATCTTCTACTCGGGGTAGGTACAAGGCCCGGGGGGGGTAGGCAGTGGAGCTCCTGACACTTCTTAGGTAGGGAACTCCTTAGGTGCCCTTTTACCGTTTCTTTCTTGGGGGAGGGTTTCCCTACTAAAATAGACTACCGGAGGAAAAAACAAAAAGCAAGAATAACAAACTCGGGTACCCTTATTCTCACCTCTCTACTGGAAGACCTGGCCTCCCCCTTGACCCACCCCCCCCCACCTTGGGCACTCCACAGGACAAGGCCGGGCTGCCCGCTGGCGCCGCGGCCGCGGCCTATGCCATCGGAGGTCATCCGAAGCCGAATCGCTTTTCGTTTTTGCCAAGACCGACCCATCGAGAAATTTCACCTGGATCGCCAGTTGCGATCGTTTCTTTTCATGCACTCAAAACCCCAAAAACCGATCGCAATAGTGACTAAACAAAAGCAGCAACTTGGCGATCTAGGTGGGTGGTGCCCAGCCGGTTCCTTAGGTTGAGCTGCTTCTAGCTGGTCACAGGTGGGGTCTCCGAATTTAACCCAGTTGAAACTTTTAGCGGATCTGAGAACAGCCAAGTCACATGGGATGTAGACATAGTGCATAGGTGTCCTTTTGAAAATGGGTTTCACTGGTGAAGAATGGTTTTATGATATTTGTCCAAAAGGTTAGCTCTGTACGGGTGTGTGTTAATATAGGGGACCACAACATCTGTTTAGTGTCCCTCTAGTTTCCCTCGAAACCAACCCAGCAACAGTAAGACACCCACATCTGTTCGCAGGGCAACGAAACATAGCTATAGACCTCAAACAAGAAGGACTTGGGACCCCTCAATCATGCGTTTGTGTATCTTCGTATGTACGCTTTATAATTAATTCATACATATATATGGTACAGCGTTGCCAGCCCCCCCCCCCCACCAATGGTCATGGGTCAGACAAGTACCCCCCCCCCCCCTGTGGTTGTGGTCCTGTGGTTGGGTTGTGGTGGTTTAGGGTTGGTTTAGAATTGGTTTGCGGTATATTTAGGGTGTATTTAGGGTTGGTTTATGTTGATTTAGGGTGGTTTAGGGTTGGTTTAGGGTTGGTTTAGGGTTGGTTTAGGTTTGCGGTTTAGGGTTTGGTTTAGGGTGTATTTAGGGTTGGTTTAGGGTTGGTTTATGTTGATTTAGGGTTGGTTTAGGGTTTGTTTAGGGTGTATTGTTTAGGGATTGGTTTAGGGTGCATTTGGGGTCAGTTTAGGGTTGGTTTAGGGTTAGTTTACGGTTGGCTTATGTTGGTTTAGGGTTTGGTTTAAAGGGTATTTACGGTTCGTTTAGGGTTAGTTTAGGGTTGGTTTATGGTTGGTTGCGGGTTGGCTTGTCCTGGGGGTGGGGGTGTCGGGGTGCGAGTTCAGGAAAGGGTCGGGGTGGGGGTGGGACCGTGGGTGACAGGATCCGGGGGCTCGGGCCGGGGGGGGGGGTCCTGGGGGACCCATACCATATGGGGGGGGGGGGGGTAGCAACACGGAACACGGGACCATATATACATAAAATGCATATGTACATATGTATATATATATATATTTATACCCAGGCCTTCTAAAGGCCAAGTTTAACTAGGCCGTTCTATGAAAGGCCTCAAAAAACCTATGGGCCGATTTTGCCAAAATCAAGCAATCCTTAGGGTTCCACTTCTTGGGGGGTTTGGTCACTCACAGCACCACGCAGCAGCGCATCCGCAGCAGCAAAAGCCATCTGCGGCTTCATCAAGTGCGCCCCGGCTCGTTTTACCGCGCGCTGTTCTCATTGAGTCGGCGCATATGACGTCGCATGGCCAAGAGCCTGGGGTCAGGGAATCACATTTTGACATTTGTGTTTGCCTGCAACCCACCTGAACTGGGAAGATCGAATGACAGAGCGCTCCAGGTTTCGCCGATCAGAGATTTGAACGACATCTTAGCTGAGTCAGCTTGCCAAGGAAGTTGTTGCATGATAACACTGGCTGGTTTGTTTCCTAATTTTGTCCAAGATGCGCTTGAGCCACTTCATTTGATCCTCGTCCAAATAGGTATGTTCATGACGAAAATTAAGTCCTGTCAGCCCCCGCAAACAATGCGAACAACGTGGCAATTGTGTTTCGATTCAGACAAGGCTCTGCGCCCCAAACAGTCCACCATTTGGTGGTGCCAAGCCTAGGGGCAACCATGATTCGAAAGACCTTGATCACAGTTCAAACTGTGGAATGCTGCCCAAGCCGCATGGAGCTTGGGTCGACAAATCCAGAAGCACATCCCCAACCTGCCAGGCAGATTGGGTTATATAAGCCACCCCAACCCCCCATCCATAAATAAAACAGAGAAGCCCCCTTCCACCAAATGCCTCTGAGAGATTCGGGTGCATTCCTTGTGCACTCTGAGAAAGCGCATCCCGTGCCCATGAATCTGCTGAGCTTGCTCAGCCGACCTGGGCGAAAGACCCCCCAATCTCAGCCACCTTTTGTTCAAGTCCGAGTTGCAGGTATCTGGGCGCTTGCTCTGCGGCGTACATGCAAGAGGCCAGCTCGCTCCTTGGCTGAGGCCAGGGCATGGGCGAGACATGTGTTTTCCAACTGTTCCAAGCTTAAGGCTTTCCAAGGTTCATTGCAACACAGGAAGGCACGAGAAGGTCATGCTGGGGCCATTCGCGGGCACCCCGGGCAATTTCCATCCCCAGCCAGTCTCCGCAAAAGCGGTCAGCAAGCACAGTATGGGTGACTGCCATGTTGAGGCAGTCACTCAACCAGGCAATCAAAACCCGGGTGTTGAACCCCTTGGCGGCAAAGTGAGCCCCAGCAGTGGGCAGAATTCCAACCTGCAGGGCTTTGAAACGAACCCGAATTCAATGAGAAGCCCCAACCATAACATTTCTTCAAGAACAGGGCACCTTCTTGTCATTGAATAATGGTTGGCTGCTGTGCACCTTCTCCTTTCGGCACCACGCTTTGAAATCTTTGTATGCAATCTTGAGGCACTGGTTCATGGACAACTCCGGAGAAATTCCCGAAATAGGACAGCTCAACCAATAGAATCCTAGCTAGGGGCAAAACTTCCCCCTTCCCCCCAAACAAAAAACCACTTGAACAAAATAAATAGGAGGACAAGACTATTGAAACCTGGTCTCAGCGAACTGCCATTGCATCCGCCGGCCACGCCCAGATTGATATTGTGTAAGCTACAATGTCTCAGGAAACCGTAGTGAAATTTTGGCAGCAGCAAGAGTGGGCCTGCGACACGTGCAGCACATAATGAAGTACTAGCACCCTCAACATTTGATACTAGCTAGGAGTTGAGGTAAGGCACTCGCGTTTCGGTGAGAGACGCAGTTGCTCAAAAACTGCAAGTGGGTGAGCTCTGTATTTTGCCATTGGGGCCGGTCACCAAAATCCAGGTATTGGTTCAAAGAGCCAGGTTGCTTTGATACATCGCATCTCCAGCAAAACAGTGAATTCCGCCAGGTCCGTGTCAGGCCCAGCGCAAGGCAATGCCATTCCCAATCTCCTCTCAGCTCCGTGACTGCGAACTTGAGCTGGCGCGGGTTGCCGTCGATGCTGCAGGCCAATCCATCATAGCAGCGGATCAGCGACTTAACGATGGAGCGGAAGAGTGGACGCAGGGTCCGGTCGCCCAGGCAGGTA